CTCAACAGTGAAATTCACTAAAATAAAAAGAATCCATATATTGTAATGGTTTAAATGCAGGTCTAATAGACATTCAAAAGAGTTTAATTTTTATATACGCATATATATTCCAGGTTAAACACATAGACGTACAGGTAAAGAAAGATACAACAAAGCAAGACAACAAAACAAATTAACATTGCAATGCATTCAGAAGAGTCATAGAGTCATATTTTATTAATGGTATAATAAAATAGCGAATAACAACAAAAACAGCATGTGTACAAACATATGTGGCTACAGATTCTATATACAGGTCAGATACAGCCTCGGTGTGATTAAGAATAAAAAAGTTAAGTTTATTGATTTCCTATAATGGTTTTTAGGTGAATAAAAAAAATGTGATTACACAATGAATAGTTTTCTCCCCTGTTATGTTAGATGTTATAACAGGCGCCCATCTCAGAAACTGGAGTAGCTGATGTTCAGACAGCAAAATTACCTTGTTGTTTGGGGATCATTTGAAGAACTGGCTGTGATTTTCCAATTATTTGCTTCTGTGACTTGACTCTCCTAGCTGCATGTGGCTGGAATGATTCCCAGTCATGATGGGAAATTGGAAACTGGTCAATGTACACTTTTTAAAAACTTATTTCACATTGCTATGGTTATTACTCTTTTTCTCTTCTACTTGTTCTGCATCCTGGTCATATATTGTTCACACAAAATAGGGCCAAGCAGTACCTCACTCATTATGAGGGTTAATCAAACAGAAAATTAGTTTGATGTCCTAATGAGTACATTGATTTTCATTTATTTCTGTTCTTTTTTTGGTAGAGATGCCATGTTCACCGTGTTAAAGATTCTGAATGACTAAGATTGTCAGGGCCGCTCGGCGGCCACTGCCTCTCCTCTGCTCTCTTTATCCTGTGGGCTCTGCACCTCAGCTGTGTTGCATTCCAGTAATTAGCAACTGGTTTGTCGATGCACACAGCTGGGGTGCATCCCGATGATTACCTTCTCCTTACTTATACCTCTGGCAGCCACTCCATCATCCCTGGAACATTAACATAGTAACGCGGACTGTACATGTTGGTAGAATGCTACGCTGACAGACACTGTGCGTTTTGGCTTGACTCTACCACACTACCTATGAGCTACGCTAATTCCCACTACACTACACTACATATTTTTGATTCGTCTCCGGAGCATTGCTATATGTTATGGACAATACTTACCCTGTTTCCTGCCGTTAGTTTGTGTGTTTACCTGTTCGTCCTGGTCTCCTTAGTTATCACTGCCCTTCCCTGGTTGTAAGTATTATGGACACTGTTATGTTGTCACTTTGTTTGTATTTATTCCAATAAACCTCCTTTTTTGTACTAGCACCTGGGTCGGCTATCTTGAGTCCAACCCCAGTTCTCCCTCACCCTCCTGGTGAGGGAGACTAACCATTACAAAGATATGTATTCAAGCTCTTGTCAAACTGAAAAATGGATATTACAGCTTATCTATATGCAGCCCTCAATGCAGTTGTCCCTGAGATTTAGAGTGGTACTGGAGTGTGAAGTATGTAACAAAGAGCTTGGAAACAGATCAATCCACACTTGAGGTAGACAGCAATAAAATCTGATGCACTGACTGACAAGTGCAAGAGAAGTCCCTATCCATTCTCTTAACAAGCCAAAAAGACAACAGTGAGGGGCTTTGACAGATTGGGTTTCAGCCTAATGATGGGAGTCAGTCAGCCACAGTGCATCACTTGTCTTCATGGAAACAAACAAACAAAACTAGCCATGAATCAATACTGTTGCATATCTGCAAATGTTTCTGGGAAAACTATGTTTTTAAAAGACATAATATTGTATATAACCGTTCTCAGTTCTTAGTGTAACATATTGAGCTATTTTAGCTTTTCATTTGTTCTTTTTGTGTCAAAAATTCCATTTTTGCTGATTATTAAAATACTGGTATTACTGATATTGGACAGAAAAGATAAACAGAAAATCTATCCATCCAATTTTAAGTTTGAATTGTGAAAGCTACTCAATTAGGTCTGCTGTCAGGTAGTATGGACACCCAGTCACCACCTGCAGTCCCAACAGTAGAAGACTATTCATTACATAACAACCAGCATACCGGCACTGGGTAAAAAAACACCCTGATTATCATTGGTGGGATGAGAAGTGGGTCAATGGGTGGTCCCGCAGACCAATCATCCAGTCATTAATAAGGGCCATGCAGAGTGGGCGGGGCTGCAAGCAGTCCAGGGTCAGAGCCAGCAAACTTACACATACAAGGTATCCACGAAAGCACAGTCAAAAAGAGAAGTCCAAAGGTTCAAAACACAGAAAACACGATCAGAATCCGAGGGGTTAGGAAGTACTCAGTGGTCACAAGGTAGTGCGTGGTCAGAGCTGGAATAACAGGTGCAAGACAAATGCTGGAAAGTTTGAACAGGAGTCTAGAACAATCTGGCAGCTTCCCGGTGGGGGGAAAGCTGCCTATAACAGGGTGAAAACAGGTGTAAACAATAACCACTGATTGGAGTAAGAGTCTGAAACTGAAACAGGAAGTAATGTCAAAATAAAAGCATGGGAACAGAAACCGAGGTACAGAATCATGACAGTTAATGATTATTCAACTCATAATCATTTGCTTAATTTTGGGTCCTTGGTAAAATGAATTCCAAGATATTTAATCTCAGATTTGATAGGGATAGTGCAGATGCCTTTTAGAGGCAAGTCATGAATGGCAAGTAATTCACATTTTTAAGGTTTAACATTAATTCTGAGGCATTAAAAAATGTCTTCATTTTTTGGATAACTTTTAGAATTTGATGCTTGTCTTTTAGGAATATCATTGTATCATCTGCAAGTTGGCTGATGATAATATCTGTACCTAAGCCATTTAGATACTTAATGTCATTGCAATTTTTAAGAAAATTGCTAACAAGCACTAAGTGAGCTGGCTGAGTAGAAATCAGGAGCCCACAGTAGCTGGCTGAGGTGGGCCTACATCAGGATGTGGCCAGTTCAATGACAAGATAAGCTATTAATTCTCTCAGTTCTTTAATGCTCAGTTTTAATACTTCTTTAATGCAATTTTTAAATTTGAGAATTTAAGTTTAATTCAGTAATCCAGGTCAATTCAATGGGGCTTTATTGGCATGGAAGGTTTAACAATGTTGCTAAAGTTACAATCAAATTAGAATTTGTTTATAGGTACTTAATTATTTGTAAAGTTTAAAATATATAATTTTAAAATGTGCTTTTGTGTCTGTCATTCACCATCCCCTATGTTGTGGTATTTTGATACATAGGACAACAAGAAAAGCCCTTCCTCCCTCTCCTAGAAGTATTTTTAATTATGAGGTCTAATTCTTTGAATCCTGACACTACAGAGTAGAACATTTCAATCTAAATGTCTTTCCTTTTATGACACTGAAGGAAGAAGTGTATCTCTGTCTGTTACAATGAATTTGCTTACTCCTCCATGATATGTGGCCTGTAGATTTGGAATCATTTGGGTCAAACTAATTTTATTTATTTTTCTCTTTTCAGGTTGATCTACAAACTGTAAGTCAATTATTTTTACTTTATTGTGGGTTCCCTTGTAAGACTCCCAGTCCCTGCACCTGCGCTAGCTTATTCATTAAAGGGGTCTTGTTGAAGTACTGTACTATACTGTACCACCTCTGTCTGTACTCAAGTCTTGAGTTTACTGTGACATCTGAGCTCAAGTGTTTAGTTCAGGTGTTTTTGCTGGCTCTCCATGCCCAGCTCTCTTTCTCTCTTTCCAACATGGCTGTTCTGCCATGACTATTTAGATTTTTATGTGTCCTCCAATCAAAAGTGGCCATCTGTAAGTAGATTTGTGTAATGGGCATAGATCTAGGCTGCCAGGCACAAAAACTCCTAGGACCTTTTTTTCCTGGGAGTTTCATCTGCAGTGCCAGTATATCCATATTGCTCTATCCCACAGCATCCATTCATCACCATTTGAATTTTGACGACCTTGATCTACAAAAGGTATGTGGTTTTTCTTTCTTCTCTAACCTGGTTGCCTCTCCTGCACATGGCCGCCATGCCACATTGATTTATTTACATTTTCATGACAATATTTCACCGCCACGCATCCGTCCATTAGTCTAAGATGGCCACCAGTCTGTCGGTTTGTTACGTCAAGCGTCGGGTCATCACAACAAAGACCTATAAAAGGTACATGGCTTTTCCTTATTCTCTAACCTGGTTGGCTTCTCCCCTCAGATGGCCGCCGTGTCACAATGATTTTATTGTTGTCCTGGATATCCTTGGTCAACATCGCGCGTCCATCTACAAAAGGTAGGTGTCGGATCTCTTGATCTCATTTTTTCTCTTGCTCTCTCTCAAAAACATGGCCCTAGGACTATTTCTGGCTAATCTGCTTCATATGTATTATTGTAATAACACTTTGCTTTTTTGGGAAATCAACAAAACTGTAATTCTCATTTTTATTATTTTTCCTTGTCCCAGCACCTGCCTGCTTCTGTCTCTATCTTCCATTTCATCAGTGCAGAGTGATGGTCAGTTCTAGGTTTAAGGAAGCCAGGGCTTCTCCACACTACAGAGAACACGGCCAACTGAGTCGAATTACATCATAAGAGGCTTTTCTCCTTATCCTTCTTAGTGTGTGAAGGAGTCTGAACTTTCAAGTTATTGGTAGTTTGGTCAATTGTTGAGTCCCTCTTTAAACCTGTATATTTGCTGGAAAAGTGACTGAGGTAGTCAGGAGATGTGCAGGTACCTAGAGAAATAAGGCAGAGTCGAGGGAAATACAGGCTAGATCATGGACCCCTACTGAGCTGGAGTTTTGTGCCATGGTTGTGCAGTTTCCAAAACCAGACAAGGGTTCCCCTGGTTTTGTGAATTGGCTGACATGGTATGCCGTTATGATCCTACTAAGAGATGCACTGTACAATTGTTGACGTTTTTTAAGG